TCAGCTGCACCCCTCCACCCTGTCCACCCTCCGGATGATCAGCTGCACCCCCTCCACCCTCGTCCACCCTCTGGATGGTCAACTGCACCCCATCACCCTGTCCACCCTCGATTTTCAGCTCCACCGCCCACCCATCATTTCAGGGAGCACCACCTGCACCATATACACACTGAGGGTCTCTACACCCCGCTCACCAGGCCCCCCAGGACCACACTCATCCTTCACTACCGACCCAGGGCACGGATGGTACGCAGGAGAATTTGTTATGTTGAAGTAAGTGGAGGTGAGCGTGCCTTCTGTGCGTGCAGCTGTCAAGGGTGACTGGGTGGATCTAAGAGCGTGAGGCTGGCCTTGTAACCCTCTCAGAGGCTCTGACACCCTGAACTGGGGCGGGGGCACACTCACCCAGCAGGGAAGACCACTGTGCAGGGGGCCGGAACAGAGGGTATTGCTTGGGGAAGGCTGTCTGGCTCCACTTGCCCGTGAAGGTGATGCTATATCTGGCGAGGTGCCGGGCAGCACAGCCAGAGGTGGCCGCCAGGGATAGTCTGGCCACGGAGCCCAGTGTGGCCAGGAGGAGGGCCCAGGTGGTGGCAGGCCGACAGGTCTCCATCACCTGCAAGCAGAGAAGTGTCACACGCTGGCTCCTCCTGTCCCCAGACGTTGCCTGTATGTGGATAGCAAGAGGGCACCAGGTGATTCATTGGAGTGAAGTGCACTCAGGACACCTCCCCTTGCTCCCACAGATGCCTCTGGTGGCATCTCAGCACCTATCAGCAGGACAAGTCCCATCAGTGCGGCTGGCAGACAGTTCTTCAGCCACAGGGGGGTCCTGGTCCTCTGTGATGACCAGGGCACTTGCTCAGGGTCTCGGCACCCTGTGACTGCCAGGGCTCCCCTACCCTGGACCCAGGTACACTTACTGCCAGGGCGCCCCTGCCCTGGACCCAGGCACACTGACTGCCAGGATGTCTGTACCCAGGATCCCAACACTCTGACTGCCAAGGTTCCTGTGCCCAGGATCCTGGTACCTGTGACTGACAGGCCCCCCCTGCTCCACTCTGTGACTGCCAGGGCGCCCCTGCCCAGGATCCCGGCACACTGTCAGGGCAACTCCGTCCAGGATCCCTGCACACTGGCTGGGTGCCCATGCCTGGGATTCTGGCATTCTATGGCTGCCAGGGTGCCTCTGCCCTGGTTTCCAGCACACTAACTGCCAGGGCTCCCCTGTCCAGGATCCCGGCACATTAACTGCTAGGGCTCCCCTACCCTGGATTCTGGCCCACTGACTGCCAGGGTGCCCCTGCCCAGGATCCCTGCACACTGGCTGGGCGCCCATGCCCGGGATCCTGGCACTCTCTGCCAGGGCGCCCCTGCCCTGGATTCTGGCACCCTGACTGCCAGGGTTTCCCTGCCCAGGATCCCGGCACATTAACTGCTAGGGCTCCCCTACCCTGGATTCTGGCCCACTGACTGCCAGGGTGCCCCTGCCCAGGATCCCTGCACACTGGCTGGGCGCCCATACCCGGGATCCTGCCACTCTCTGACTGCCAGGGCGCCCCTGCCCTGGATTCTGGCACCCTGACTGCCAGGGTTTCCCTGCCCAGGATCCCGGCACCCTATGACTGCCAGGGCGCCTCTGCCCAGGATCTCTGCACACTGGCCGGGCATCCGTGCCCGGGATCGTGGGCTCCAGCTGCTCTGGGCAGCTCTGAGGAGGTCTCCAGGAGTCCACAAGGTGTGCGGCTCTGTGCCCCGCTGCTGTGGATGGCTCTGAGTCCTCAGAGCACAGCAGGACAGCTTCGTCCCCAGGGAGGCCAGCTCACAGCTCGACAGTGGCTGTTCCTGGGGGGGGTGTCTCCTCCCCTCCAGGGCGTTGCAGGTTTCTGATGTGGAGGTTCCCACTGTGGGCCTGTGACGCTTGGGGTGGACATGTACAGGTACTCACCGACCTGGAGCTGCAGGACAGCCTGCCCGGGGCTAGTGTGAGCAGGGAGCCCTGTGTCTCTGGTTGTGGAGGGATGGATGACCCCAGGCTCTGAGGCTGCAGCCCTCTGCTCCAGAGGGGCTGGGAAGGTCCTTCCCTGGCAGCCCTGGTGTGAGTCTGTGAATGCTGACTGGCCCGCCACCACAGGCCGCCTCCCAGCGCTCAGCCAGCCCCTCGAGTGTGGAGGGCAGGGCCGCTTCTTCTTGGAGCTCACTCCCCTCCCTCTGCCCCTGCCCCCGCCGCACCCCTTTCTTTGTCTTCTCTTCCTGTCTTCTCCCCACTCCTTCCCCGCCTTCGGCCTGCCTCCTCTCCCTTTGTGGGGCGACTCTGTGCTCCTAGACAGTGCTGGCCCGGCCCCTCCGTGCACAGTCTGAACGTGAGCCAAGCCTCACACCTTTCCAGGCAGGGCGGAACCTGGCCGGCCAGCTATATCCACGGCCTGACGTCAGCTGAAGTGTTGGCTGTGGGTCGGGACAACGGCCAGGGGCTGCCAGCTGGGGCACCTCTGGCCTTTGAGGTTCTGAGCTTCAGCCAGCCCGTCAAATATAGCTGCCTATTTCCCACCATGGCTGGTCACCCCCCAGGAGTGGCTTTGCAAACAGCACTCCCCAGACGCCGTCCTGACGCCACCCACTCCCTTTTTGGACCCTGCCACATCTGGGACGATGAGATGATGAGTCGAGGGTGTTGGTGATGAACAGAAGAAAGGGGAGCTGTTCTCCCTCTTGGCCAGGCTGCAGATGGCTGCTGGGGCAGGCCTGCCCTCTGGGAGCTCACCCTGGGCACCAGGCACCCCGAGGAGGACTGCTGGGGCCTCGCATCGCCCCCTCCCTTCAGTAGAGCTGCTGGGGAGCTTGGCATGTGACGTTTATCACTGTAAAGTTCATCTCTGCTCAGTGTCAGGAAGGCTTTCTAGCGTTCATGGTCGTGGAACCTCCGACCTGGGGAGGGTGGTTGACAGTTTGGTGCTCAACAGCGCTCATAGCTCATCAGAAGCACCCAGGGAGCGTTTAGACTCAACAAAGAAAAAGGGCAACAGTCTCATTTTAGAGCTATGTTAATGTTTTCCATCTTAAAAAGGAGATAGGAAGTAAATACAGCCAACAGGGATGGGCCACGGTCAAGTTCACTTGTATGCAGCCCTTAGACTGTCTTCGGGCAAAGGAGCCCACTCTACACCACGGCCACGGGCAATGGAGCCCACGTCTACACCACAACCACGGGCAAAGGAACCCACGTCTATACCACAGTCACGGGCAAAGGAGCCCACGTCTACACCACAGCCACGGGCAAAGGAGCCCACGTCTACACCACAGCCACGGGAAAAGGAGCCCAGTCTATACCACAACCACGGGCACAGGAGCCCACGTCTACACCACAGCCATGGGCAAAGGATCCACTGTGTACACCACAACCACGGGCAAAGGAGCCCACGTCTACACCACAGCTACGGGCAGAGGAGCCCACGTCTACACCACAGCTACGGGCAGAGGAGCCCACGTCTACACCACAGCCACGGGCAAAGGGTCCCACGTCTACACCACAGCCATGGGCAGAGGATCCCAAGTCTACACCACAGCCATGGGGAGATTCACTCTGAGTGCAGTGCTTAGACCGTCCTCGGGCTAGAGACAGAAACGAATCTGTGGTTCTGACTTCCTGACCACAGGACTCTCTTTGTTCCCTTAAAAGTTGTGGCGTCCTCCAAGGAAGCTTTATTTATGTGTGCGCACTGGTAATGACCTCATTAGAACGAATAAGAAAGGTTTTGAATATTTACTGGTTTTCTTAAGGTATGAACCCACTATATTTTAACACAGTTAATATAATGTTCAGTGGGGGAGGGGGAAATCTTTATTTCCCAGAATTGAAAAACAAACCAAGACAGTGAGACGACAGTACCGTTGGGATTGGTGTCAGTGAGGTGCCTTGTGACGTCACAACGCTTCACCGGCTGCCTCTCGTGGGACCATGCAGAGCTCTCAGCAATACCCATTATCAACGTTAATAATAAAATCATGAGTGACAGACAACGCAGCGGCGCAGGATGGCAAAATATAGTGATACATTAAGTATAGTATTTCTCAGAACACATGTTATTGTTATGTGCCATCGAGTCGCCTGCGACTCATAGTGACCCTATGTACAACAGCCCTAAACCCTGCTCTATCCTGTGCCAATCTCACTGTCTCTGACACACCTACCACCATTACCTTAGTCACTGAAACAATCCACCTCGTAGAGAGTCTTCCCCTCCAGTTCTGTCCCTCTACCCTCCCAAGCATGTTTTTCTACAAGGATTGGTTGCTTCTTATCACATGTTTATGTCTGACAAAGCTTCAGAATCCTTGCCTCCAAGGAGCAGCCTGGTTTAACCCTCTCCAGGATGAATCTGTTCATTTTCTTAACAGTTCATGGTATATCCAATACTCTTCTCCAATACCACGGTTCAAAGGCATCAGTTTTCCTTCTATCCTCCCTAGTCATTGTCCAGCTCTCTGACACATAGCAAGTGATTGCAAGGACCATGGCCTGTAGCAGGTGCACCTTAGTCTCCAGAGAGACACCACTGCTCTTCAATACTTTGGACATGTCCCTGACAGCAGACTTTCCCATTGCAATATGTCTTTTAATTTCCTGGCTGCTAGTGCCAAGAGTGTTGACTGTGGAGCCAAGCAAACTAAAACTGTTAACAATGTCAACTTCTTCACCATCCATCCTGATGCTGTCAATTGGTCCTGTAGTGAGAATCTTTGTCTCCTTGACATTAAGCCTCAATCCATATTGAAGGCTGCAGTCTTTGACCTTCTGCAGCAAGTGCATCAGGTCCTCCTCAGTTTCACCAAGCAGGGTGGTGTCATCTGCATACTACACAGATTGTTGATGAGTCTTCCCCCAATCCCGAGGCCACACTTCTCCTCATAGAGCCAGCCTCCAGATAATCTGTTCTGCGTACAGGTTGGAAACGTATAGAGATAGGACACATCCCTGTCGTACACCCTTCCCAATTTTGAACCATGCAGTGTTTCCTTGCCCTGTTCTGACAACTGCCTCCTGGTCCAAGGAGGTTTCATATTAGCATGATCAAGTGTTCAATGTACAGAGCACATGGATAATAAAATTATTTTGTAAAACCTTTCCTTGTGCTTTGGCTTCTCTGCACTCCCATGCCATATTCAGAGTTTCTTCTGACATCCATTTTGGTCTTTTCTTCCTCCTCTGTCTTTGTAATGACCGTTGGCACTCTTCCTGGATGATACCCTTGATACCACCCCACAGCTTGTTAGGTCTTCGCCCATTAGAGTTCAAGGCCTCACATCTGTTCCTGAGATCGTTCTGAAATTCAGGTGGGATAGACTCAAAGTCATATTTTGGTTCCCGTGGACTTGGTTAAACTTTCCTCAGCTTCAACTTGAACTTGCATATGAGTAGTTGGTGATCTGTTCCTCAATCGGCTCCAGGCCTAGTTTTCACAGCTGAGACTGAGCTTCTCCAGCGGTTCTTGCCGCAGATGTAATCAATCTGATTCCTATGCATACCATCCAGTGAAATCCATGTGTATAACCTGCATTTATGTTTCTTATAAAATGTATTTGCAATGAGTAAGTCATTGTGCAAAATTAAATCATTCTCCAGCTTCATTTCTGTCACCGAGTCCATGTTTTCCGATACTAAATGAGCTGAATAGAAGATTCCAAAAGGCAGTGCGGGATGACAAAGCAAAATATTACAATGAAATGTACAAGGAGCTGGACTCAGAAAATCAAAAGCACTGAACTCACTCAGCATTTCTTAAGCTCAAGGAACTGAAGAACAAATTCAAACCTCAAGTTGCTATAATCAAGGATGCTTTCAGCAGAATATTAAGTAACCCAGGAAGTATTAAGAGAAGATGGAAATAATATACTAAGTCACTGGATCGAAAGGAATTGGCAGACACAAAAGAATTTAATGAATAACATACGAGCAAGAACCTATGGTGATGAAAGTTCAAGCTGCTTTGAAGGAAATAGCGAAAAATAAGGCCCCAGGAATAGATGGTATACCAATTGATGTATTTCAG